AAAAAAAAAAAAAAAAAAAAGCCAGTCTTACATTGGAATAATAGTGGCTGTTTAGGGGATTATACCTGTAACTATTGGTTTACATTTGTGTCTTATGTTAGACTCATATTGTGTATTGAATTGGAACACACTGATAGTCCCATTGAAGTAAAATGAGATTCCTTGTGCCTGAAGTTAACTATGTGCTTAAATACTTAGCTGAATCAAGGCCACATGACATATGTCTTGCAGGTCTGGTTTCGTGATACTTCATACTAGCCACAGTAAGTTTATGGGAAGTTAAGACTGTGCTCTGCACCTCTGTGTAGGCTAAGGGTTCTGACTCAGTGTTTCCAAATTCTCTGGAATCAGGAATGTTGTGATGTGATATTTAGTGCTTAAAACCCTTTCCTTGCTTTCTGGAATCACATGATTGTGAAATTTCTGCCATGTTTTAGCCTGCAGTTTCTAGCCCCCCATAGTTGTGGAGAAATGCCTGAAAACAGGGTCCAAGTGCATCATAAAAGCTTAAAAATAGGATGGCAGACAAACCCTCATTTAAAAAAAACCCATCCTTCAATATTCCAAACTCATAACCTGAGGGGCTGCGGGCACAGGGTGGAGGAGGAGGGCATGGTACAAGAGACTATATAATTTTTGACTGTGTGGGGTGGGTGATACTCAGGATTATGGTGCTTTGGCCGTTGTTTTTGTTTTCCCTAGATGTTTTGTATTCCCAGCAGTTTTAGATGAGTAATTGTAAGGGAGTGCTATATTTACTTCTATGAATATCTTTTCAGGGTCTGGTTTCAAACTTAACGCTTGATCAGGACGTACTTGTTGACTGGGAAATCTACCCTCTGGACATAGACAGAGCAGTGGGACATGGCCTAAACTGCAGTGATGATGAATTGAAAACACCTGGAAGTACTCCACCAAGCTATGAACTACCTGCTTTTTACACTGGTACATTATCTATTCCCAGTGGGATTCCAGACTTACCCCAGGACACCTATATTAGGTTTCCTGGTTGGACCAAGGTAATTTCTTTTACTAAATAAGTTCCCCCTAAAAATCTGAATCTGAGGTTACTTGCTTTGCTAATAAAGGTCAGTTGGGTTTGCAGGAGACTTGATTACAATAATATGGTGGTTTTAAGGGGAAATGTTACTGTATACCAAATAGTCGTCAGAGGTATTGGGATCCTAACTGAATGCATCATTCATCTGAACTAAGTCTGGGAATAACTAGCCAAGATGAGGGAAGTGAATATTAAATGGACTTAAGTTGCCAACCAAAAACAGTGCATTCAATAAATTTGCAGTTATTAAAGAGATGGGAAAAGGTAAAAACTTAAGATACCTTTATGGTTAAAGATGAGTTCCTGAAGCTTAACACACTCAGACTTGGGTGCCTGGATTCCACCTGAGTTCCACTTTAGGTGCTCAGGTTCTGCTGTGGATTGCAGGATTTGTTGATGGTAGTGTATTACATAAGCTGTTAACACTGAGGTTCTGAGAAAACAAGTTAGTTTTTGTGTTCAGATTTAAGCCTTAGATTTGTAAAGGCTTTGGGCACTAAACTCCCATTGCAGTTGGTGTTAAATGTTTATTAACAAAACACCCAATTCTGGCGCATGGTCCTCCTTTCAAAGAGCATACAAGACAAAGAATGAGAAGCAAGGAAGGATCCAGTGGTAACAGGCATGATCTAACTTGTAATACAGTTGTCATAAATTATTTTAAAATCACCTCTTATACCCATAATAAAGTCATACTGGAATGCAGATGTTGCTAATCCTGCCACTGGGTGAACACTGGCATGATTAGATTGTGCATTGGTTTAAAAAGTTTTCAGTATTCAGGCTACTTACAACACGACTGGTTCAGTTCCTAGCCTGCTGAAGGAAGTTCTTCATTTCTGCTTCTCTATTTCTGTCCTTCAGGTTTTTTTTTCGTTTGATCAAATTTTAGGGCAGATAAGAGCATCTCTTTCATAAGCATCCTATGTAGCGAAATTTTCATCATAAAAATAAGCTGAGAACTTTGCTTTCTTGGAAATGAACCCAAAGGTAAAAAACTATTGGGAACAAGGTTGGAGCTGATTGTAGCTTCTCTGGATCTTTGACTAAGCTTAACATTTCACCCAGTGAAATTTGCCCACATATTGTTACAGAAGAGGGTATTGCATTTTGGGCACATACTGATTATTTTCCTATGTAAAAAATTAAAGTAATTCTAATGCTATCTTCCCCCTTAAGCTATCATAGAAGCAAAGTTATGAGGCTGAATAAATTGCTAGATTTTTCATTTTTCTAATACTGCAAGCACAGACCACAGAGTGAGATTAATTTGATAAAAAAAGAAAGTTTTCAGACTGGGGGTTTAAAACCTTGGCAAAACTGAATAAGATAGAATCTTGTATTACAGAGCAAATGGAAAGCTGAGTGAGAACACCTGCACTTGTAAATGTGACATCTTTGTGAAAAATATACAGATTCAACAACAATCAGTTTATAAAGGTTTAAAAGAGTGTACAGAATCATATAATTGCAATATCGCTGCTTTTTAATTCTGATGCTAAATGTATTTGACCTATTTTGCTACACTTTCCTACCCTGTGTGAGGTAGTAGGGGTTTTTTTGAACATCCATGACAGCTACTGTAGGCAATTTTGAAAGTCACAACCAGTGCTCTTAGCATCCTGGCTTCCAAGTGTCTCATCAGTTTATCTTTATGGAAAGCGTTTTGTAGCATCTTTCATAGCTTTAAACGTTACATGGAATCAGGGGAAGGAGATGCATATGTCTGAATTCAGTTGTTCTTTTTAATTTCTTGTCCATCCATTCCATAGTTTTCTGGTGCTGATTAAGGTAGGAAGGATATTCTGAAGCTGTGAATCTGTGAAATGTTAAACGTCTAAACCATGTGACAGTCAGCCTTTTGTTTTGTCTGAAGTCTTATGAACCAAGGTTCAGTTTTGACTAAATGTGGCCCCATTTGCAAATTTGTACTGACACTTGAGTAATCTTAAAAGTGACCTAAAAGACATTTTGAGGTTTGAGGTAAATTTTAAGGCCTTTATATGTGACTACTTTTTGATGTACCAAAATAATTTCCATTTTAAACGCATTCTTTTTTTCTTAGAAATATCTACAGTGTCATTTTGTCACTTTTTTTGGCAAAGGACTTTTTGGGTGCCTGAGATGCTGTGAGAAATCTCATACTAGGGACTGGCTACGTCTATTACATCTCAAAAGGATATTTAGGTTTTCCTCCAAAGTTTTAGTAGTCATTGGAATTAGATTGGCTTTAATAATTAAACTCTCTATTTCTTTTTCTCTTGTTTTTCTTAATACTCTGACATAAGTGTCCCTTCTCTTTTATAATTCTTCAGCTTTCTTTTTGGAGATGTCATTTGTCAGGTTCTCCTGTTACGGTAGAAACTTTGAGGAGAAGAAAACATTTATATTTCAAATGTCTAAACAAGATGTAGACAAACTTTTTTTTGCCTATGAATACATAAAATAGAAGGGACCTGCTTGGTAATCTAGTCCAATCTCTTCCTAGATTGGTAGGCTATCACACCATAAAATTAGAATGATGGCTTCTTTTGACAAGCTCTTTACTAGTGACCCTTTAAGCAAATATAATTTATATTTAGGTTTGCTTTAATCTGAAATATAAACTAAAACTCAGGGCAAATAGTGGGAAGATACAGATAGCTTGCAGTTCCATTTTATGGGAAAAATATAGAGATTTGCAGGAAAAGCTAAAAGGTTTAACTTTACAGAACCCTACAGAAAACAGTGTCAAGTGGAGATGAAGCCCAGGATGAAGCTGTGATATTTATTTAAAAAAACAAAATAAAACAAAACACCCCTGGCAAGATTCACTTTGCAAGAGGTATTAGCTGCTGAGAGGCACAAGCTGAACTTTGTCTGGGTAGTGTTTTTTTATGGCAATTGAACATTTATTTTTTCACACTAAGGATCCTTCTGTTTGTTTGTTTTTTAACCGAAGTATTGTTACTTTATTGGAGGATGTCATTTTTACATGTTAATATTTTTAATTCATCACAGAATTGGAATGTTTTGCCTGTTTGTTCTAATCCCTGAGTTAATCAGGGTTTAAAGCCTGGTTAAAATTAGAAATGTCTGACATTGTATGAGACATAAAGAAGCTTTGTTCTGCTCAGGCTCGCAGCATGTCTGTGTGGTTTCTTTGGGGCTCCTGAGAGCACTGCTGAGAAGCAAGGCCTGCCCACCCACTCCCCCTGTGCCAAACCCAGACCCAAGGCAGTGCAGCCTTCTGGGGGGACCACTACTATCAAACACAAAGATCTTTAACCCCATGGAAGCTGTAAAAATGTGGTATTAGGGATTACATACACTATTGAGTGAAATAAAAATTATTATTATTAAATGAGTAAAGGTTTTGTTTTGTTGGCTTTTTTCTTCTTCCAGGGACAAATCTGGATCAATGGCTTTAACCTCGGTCGCTACTGGCCAGCCCGTGGTCCTCAAGTGACCCTGTTTGTTCCAAGCAATATTCTTGTATCGTCAGCACCAAACAATATTACGGTACTGGAGTTGGAGCGGTCTCCTTGCAGCATCCAGGAATGTGTCGTAGAATTTGTAGACAAACCTGACATCAATGCAACACTCCAATATGAAGGCAACAGTGAGAAGCTGTACTCTAGAGATTTATACCTGAGCCATCTGTGATGGATGAGGAATGATTTCTGTAGCATCTCCCTTTTTCTGCCCCATTCCCTCAAATTGTACACTCCTCATGTGAAGAATCAATGTTAATTGGTATGCAGTTTAACTATGGAAGCTTTTTCACATCCCTAAATGTGTAGTTGTTTTATGAACAGGAGAAAGAAAACATGAGGTTTCCTTTCAAAATGAAGGTTCTAGTTTTCAAGTCAGTTTTGGAATGAGAAACGGAACTTAAATGGAAGATCATAGTGACAACAAGGGCAAAGAAACAGATAGCTCAGAGAACAGCCTGCATGCAAAGCAGGCTCCTACACTAGTTGTTTTAACATTTCTTGTGAATGTGGAGAAATTTACCATGATAAGAACTAGGTGGTTGCACTAGCACACTTACGAAATACTTGACTATATGAGAGCATCAGGAGGCTTGGGTATCCCACATATAATTTACATATGACCTGGTTTCATCTAGGCTTAAATACCCAGTTAGTATAATTTCTGTTTATTGCCCAGAGGGTTATTTCTCCTTCCAACCTGTAATATCTAAATGACTTTTAAAATATTCCAGAATCTTCTGCTTCCTGGAACTGAATATCTAACATACAGTGCAGCTGAAATGCAATCTAATTATAGTAATACGAACATCTGCAAGTGGCTTCTGGTCTTTGAGCAGTCATTTCACTGATACACAGACACACACACACATTTATATCTATCTAATTATATATATCCAATAGATAGATAATTTGCTTTCTGTTTTTCAGCCTTCGAGATTCACATTAGTTATCTTTAACATTTTTTCAAGGGCTAGAAATTATTTAATCAAATTTTAACTCTTGTGAATCATTATCCCCAGGACTGGTTAAAGGAAGAAAACGAGGAGTTAGCAACTTTAACTTATGTTTGACTTTCTCAGGCTAAACCAATTCCTTGCCTCTTGCCTTGGGCTTCCTGGTTCCTACAGCTTCTCTGGGGTTTAGTAATCCTATCCTTGAAGCTTTTAATCCCCCTACCTCCAAAGCACTATCAGCTTGCTCTTCTTCTGGAGACATTGAGTTGAAGGGGACTTTCCATATTATTTCCAGGAGATGCACTTGGATTATTCTACAGCTCTGGGTTCTAGTCCAATGACAGTCTGGAAAGCAAAGCGGTTCATATACATCATTGATTCCCACTCTAGACCACTCCTAGTCCACTCCGTAAGCACGCACACTCTCTCTTCTTTGACCCCATAGGAATCATAAATAGGGCTGGAAGGGACCTCATGAGGCTGGAAAGGACCTTATGACTACAAAGAATAGTCTATCTCTGTCATCTTTATAACCTTGAGGTATTTAAAGACTTATCAAATCCTTCCTCTGTATTCTCTTCTCCAGACTAAATAATCCTAGTTCTTACATCCTTTGCTTATAAATCTCATTTTCTAAGCCTCAGTGTTTTTCTACTTGACTGTAATATCCTCTGGACAGTTTTCCCATACCCCTTCCTCTGCCAGGATACTCCCCTTACTGTAAGTGCCAGTTACTGCTGGTGTCCATACCATCAGCTCAGTTACGTCTTTTCGCTGTCCTTGAGTTAGTGACACCTGCTTTTTAAAGGACTACACAACCCTATAACAGAGGTACTTGGAAAACTACATTTTCCTTCCAAAATGTTCGATAAACATTTAAAAAAATTCCTCAAAAACTCTGAACTAACAATTTCATTTTAACCAAAGTCTGAAAGCTATTGACAAAGGCTGTTAAAAGAATTGAAAAAGAATTTTCAGTTAAAATATCCAAAAAAAAGGTCAAGCCTTTGCAGTAGACACAAGAAAAAGTGTAAGAGTGAGCCTTGTTAGTACACATGCAGTAAACTCTGTTTAAACCATCTCAATAGGTCAGTGAGTCCATGCAGTCTTCATGGTTGACCTTCAAACTATGGGCCGATTTGATATCTTTACACTGGTTTTATAATAATGCAGCATGACTGATTTAAATGATATTAACTCCTAACTTGTGCCAGTAAGAAGAACAGCTGAAGGTCTCACTGCTGCACAAATGGAACTCATGGTACTGACAGAACAGTCAGTGACAGAAATGCATACTGAAAACAAGTTTAAAATGAGTCTTAAAATTGGTGATTTTCATTTAGTCAGAAGATTTATGCCGTGAAGACATTGAGCCAGCAAGTCGTCTTTTTTACTCCTTGTTATAACTCATTATTACAATGGTGCCTGCCCTTGTGCCTTTACAGTTGCTAATCTTGATGTAAATGTCTGATCTCTGTAAACATGCAGATTCATTTAGTGACTGTTGCTGTCAGTGAAAGCTGACTTTCAGTAACAGTATGTCTCTATGCTTCTCATTGGGTTTAGTGTCAGTCTTGCAAACTCTGAAAGGAGGCTTAAAGAGCAAAGAATTGAGACAATGAAAGAAATTAAAGTATTTTCCTAAATTGCTAAATTGCTTCCTGTTGATGTTGTTCAAAATGATTGAAACTGAGAGCTCTTCTAGAGCAGTTTCTCAACCTGTAGGTCGCGACTCAAAAGTTGGCCATAAGAATATATGAAAGGGTTGCAAACTAACTTTAAAAATGGATCAACAAAGTTTAAAAATGGATTCTCCTTTAAAGGAGAAAAACATGGGAAACTGTGGCTTTTCCTTTGCAGGCTGGAAGAGTTCCAGCCTGTGAGAGAGCCTGCATGGGGGCCCCCATGCTTCCCCCGAACTCCACACACTGAGGGGCTGGGGCCTGGCATTGGGACGCAGTGGGTTGGGAGTGAGGAGCACTGGGTCAAGACTGGCCATCAATGTTTACTAGCGAGTCCTGGTACAAAAAAGGTTGAGAACCACTTTTTAGAGGATTGTTTCTTCAGCTTAAAACATGGTGAGAGAAGAGAAAAAGCAGGAAGAAGAATGATAGAGCCATTAGTAGAGTGAGAGAAACTTTATTCAGACCAAGGGTGTCAAACTTGCCCTGTCCCCTGGGCCAAATGTGAACTGCAGGGCTCCTTGCAAGCCAGATCAGGATCTGGACATGAAGGGGAGTGAACCCAGCTATTGCTTGACCCTTCCACTGTCACACATCCACAGCAGTGCTCTATGTACCCATATTTTGGTGCATGAGACCACCCCTGAATTCCCAGCTTCTCTGCAAGATCCACAGGTCACACAACACAGCTCTTCAGGTTGGACCTGGCCCGCAAGCGGCAAATTTGACTCCCCGATTTAAAGCATCTGAAGGTAAAGATTACCTCTGCAGTAGCCTAGGAACACGTCCTTTGCAATGATAAGATTTATCTAAAGCAATGCAAAATAATTGGAGTCAGGCTATGGACCTTCGGGAGAGGTTGCTGTTTTTGGGACTGTTGCTCAGCAGAAAGACAAATATTCTCTTTTGTCTAGCAGGACCTACTGCAGGTTTCAGTTTTTGGTCCTTAGCACCTAGGTGTTACCTCCCTTGCCCAGAAGTGCGTAGGAGCCTTGGGTGAAAGCAGTCCAGTCCCTAGTCAGATAGGTGTATTTTTATGTTTATGGATTGTTTCAGTTTTGTCAGGTTAGTTTGTATTTAAATAATTGTTCTACAACTTGCTCTTTTTCCAGAGCTCAGTGTCTGTGAAGCACTTGGAACATGCATTGTGAGTTATTGAATGCCAAGTATAAACATGTCAGAGACAGGTTTTGAGAGTATGGAAAGGAACAAATTTAGTTTCAGGTTGGTTGTGGGTTCTGTGGCTACATGTGTTCAGAATTAAACTTCCCCTTATATTTATTTTTTTCTATATCAATTCAGCAATTTATGACTGACACTGGATCATTCCTAGCCACAAATCAGGGATGTTTGTGTTAGCAGGCTTGGAGTAAAGACTTGAAACCCATACATGGCTCTTTTTAATAGTTTTGCTTATGGATGAGCCATAATACAGCATATACCATCTTGTGCCTTACAAACCCAAAAAGATTACCCCAAAGGCTTACAAGATAATATCAACTGATATAGCACAAGTGAGGGTTAGGTAGAAGAAATGGGGTGTACTTTTTTGTGCAGAAAATGTACACAATTTCAACAATTCACTTACCCCAGTGGTGTCTGATACAGAGTGATCTTCCTGTTTAAAGAATGGAACTGGAAAGTGGGGTCCTGAACTCTGGTACTGTCTTTCTGGAATGTGACATTTTGGGGAGTGAGCAGCTGCTACTGTAGCGAAGTGGCTAATGCTGTAGTTCCCTCCATGTATTCACTGGGATTTGGCTCTGCTCCTCTGGCCAGCTACCTGACTGTTGGAAATGCATCCTTTACTTGATAAAGCAGGAGTAAGCCATCTTCTGGGCAACCTCAAGTGCTAAACAGCTTCTATGCACTAGAGAGCAAGATGCAAGTGTGCTGATGGGCCAGCCATTTCCAGGTAAGCAAGTGCCTGGAATTGTGGGAATGCTAGTGGAAAAATGTCTGTATCTGAGTGTTGTTACTGGAGACTTTGCTACAGTCACATTGCAAAATGGGTTGCATCTTATCCCTGGTATAAACCCAGAAGAGGAGCAGGATTTGCTAAGCTCAGGCTGTATCCACTTCAACATAAGGAAAGGGCTGTGAGTGAGTGATGGGAAGCAAGGGCATGGACCTGCACCTGCATACAGAAATAGCTTACAATATCAACATACATTCACTCTTTTACCTTAAAGATAGCAGCTCCATGCTTGGCCAGACATGTAATGAAACATTACAGGCCTCAAAAGATTAATCACTGGTTTGCTATGGGACCTGGTCTGCAAACATGGTGGTGAAGTTTACTTAACATGTTGTTGTGTTAGGTCCTTTGCAGTTCTTGAACCATTTGTTCCAGTTTGCCTTCATGTGCCTGGCCCTTAGCCTTTTAGAACCATACAGGCTTGGCAGCAAGAGCTGAGCTCCCAACACATGACAGCTCAAACATAACAGGAATGACATGCATCCTCACCCACCCACTCGCCCAATGGTAGGAGAACATTTTTCACAAAACAACCACTTCCTTTATGACCTCGCAGCCCTTGTACTCCAGTCAAATCTACAAAACACTTTCAGGAGAGAGCTTGGGAAGATTTATAACCTTACTGGAAACTAAAAACCAGGGACCTTTCCCCTTCTCTTCTGCCCCTCTCTTTTTCCTTCTCCCCAACTACCTTCTCACACCTTCTCTTCTATTTCCTTTAAACCTCACTGCCACACATTTGCATGTTCGCAAACCTAAATTTTGCATATTGGCTTCTATGCTACCTAGGAGAGCATACAGACACCAACAAACTTTCCCTATGCTTGAAGAAGGGCATTTGTGCCTGAAAGCTTGCAAAGAACAATTTTTCCAAGTATCACAGCTACCCAAACAACCTTGTCTGCCCTGGAACTAAATGCAGACATTGACTTCACGGCTCATTGCAGTCTGAATCTGCCCTCTCTTCTAATTTCCCTACACTCCACAGGTAGTAACAACTATTTAATGGCTTTGCTCTTCCACTACTTAGGTTATTTATTCTGCTGTACTTCTCTTGTTTTATAGCCACTCCCGATAAGACCTCTCTGCTCCTACTTTACAGTCCTCCTTTCCTTTAAATTGACTTTATTGGTACATACGGTGTTACACATGCTATGGTTTTATCTGTTCTTTATTTCAAGCTGCATCTGCTTCTTTCCCAGATCTGAAGAAGGGCAACTGTTGCCTGAAAGCTTGATTTGCAGCTCTCCTAAATACACAGCAGGTGCAATAAAAGATATCTCAAAAAAAAAAAAACAAAACCCACCAGAAAAAAGCATCTTTGTTATAACTTGGATGGGAGCTTTAGGTTTTGTCTACTGAGAACATGCTATGCTCCACAAAATAGTGTCTTTATGTAAGAAACGGATATTTCGGTGGGAGTGTTATCTTTTTTTGGTTCAACTGCATGGCTTGGAAAGATTTCAACCAAGTTTCCAAGCACAATGAGGACCATGGCAACAGGCCACACTCCCTTCAAGGTGTGTTGGGTGCACAGTGAAGAGAGCTCATTTTGCATGTGCCAAACAAGTGAGGGAGATGTGGCCACAGCTCCTCCCTGTGATCCCGGTTGTCAGTGAGCTCTCTGAGCTCACCAGTATGTTAGCAGAGCTGCTGCTGGAAACCGCGTGTACTGTGAGCTCAGTGGCATGGGGTCTGTCTAGAATTCCTCCTTTCAAGCTGCTCTGAAGTGTGTGTCTGTTTGCTTTTCCCTCCATGAAAGCAGGGGGCTGAGTGTTGAAATGGAATTTTCTTTTATTTCTGTGGGGGAGAGATGGTGGAGAAAGGAGAGAGAGGAAGAGTGAATAGGAGCAGTGCTCCAGAGCTGCTTGCAAGCAGGGACTTGGGATAGACCCAGTGCTGATGAGCAGTCAATGTGCTCAGAACTTGCAGCATGTGCACCAGAAGCTCTCCAACCATGCCAGTAAGGTCACTGTGCATATGCAGCATACAGCCAAATAAGATGCAACTATGCTGCAGTACCCCCTCTGGATCCACCCCTCACTTTTCAGGTCTGCGAAAGAAGCAGATACAGCTTGAGCTAAGTAATGAATGTAGTTGGTCCAACAAAATATATCCCCTTCCTCCCCAAAAACTATCCTTGCCTCTTGCATATATACATGTCCCCACATTCAGACATGGGCAAGTGACATACTAACCTAAGTTTCCCTAATTGTAAAATGGCAGCAGGAATGTAAGATGTTTCTCAGTAAGACTTGCCAACTAATGTTTAAAGGCTAGGATGCAGCCCTGTATTCTTTCCTCGTATGAACAGATCTAACTAGGAAAGGATATACATGTTGGGCAGGCATTTAGCAAACAAAGTTAGGCTGAGATATTATCTCTGTTGTGATATTTGAGTTCCGTTTAAGTTGTATTGTTCTCTTGTTGCACTCCTGGTTTGTAAGTTTAATCTGTTTTCTTATTGTAAGCTGCCTTGAACTTCTGTTGGGATGAGTGGCATATAAATAAATATTGTTTTCCTGGACAATCGCATCCTTCCAATGCTACCATTATACAATGAAGGCAGTCAAGTGCATATGGCAAAAACATCTTGCTTGGTGATAGACTGCCAGCTAGAACACTAGGCAGACAAGGTTCTTTGGGTTAATCTGATATCTTTTATTAGACCAACTTAAATAGTTGGAAAAAAAAATCTTAGCAAGCTTTTGGATTTAAAAACCCTTCATCAGGCTGAGGAAGCCTCTAGTTAGTGTGCGCTCTTCCTGGATGGAATGAATAATAAGCCAGAGCCTGGGCTGTTATGCATGCAAGACAGGCAGTCAGTGAAAATGTAAATTGAGGAGTCAGTGGGTGAGAGACCGGTTGGGTGGGTGTGAGGGGGGGAGAGAAAAGGGGGACTAATGTAGCAGTTCAATAGCAGAGAGAGGTACCTGGGAAGTCAGCTGTCAGGCAGGTTATAATGTGCCATCAATCCAATGTCTATATTT